CAATCTAATGCTTTTGCATAGTCAATAAAACTTAAGTAAACATCTTTCTGGTACTCTTTGCTTTGAGCCAAGATCCATCTGACACCAGCAATGATATCCCTTGTTCCACGTCCTCTTCTGAATCCAGCTTTCATTTCTGGAAGTTCTCTGTCAATATACTGCTGCAACCATTTTTGAATTATCTTCAGTAATATTTTACTTGCATGTGATATTAATAATATTGTTGGATAATTTCCACATTCTGTGGGATCACCTTACTTTGCAGTGGGTACAGATATGGATCTCTTCCAGTCAGTTGGCCAGGTAGCTGTCTTCCAAATCTCTTGGCATAACTGAGTGAGTGCATCCAGCAGGGCATCAGTTTTTTGAAACATCTCAATGGGTATTCTGTCAATTCCTGGAGCCTTGTTCTTTGCCAATTCCTTCAGTACAGCTTCAACTTCTTCCTTCAATACCATTGGTTCTTGATCATATGCCACCTCCTGATTTGGATAAACATCAACCAATTCTTTTTGGTACAGTGACTCTGTATTCCTTCTATCTTCTTTTGATGCTTCCTGCATCATTCAATATTTTGCCCATAGGATCTTTCAATATCATAACTTGAGGCTTATTTGTTTTCCTCAGTTCTTTCAGCTTGAGAAATGTTGAATGTGTTCTTCCCTTTTTGTTTTCTAACTCCAGGTCTTTGCACATTTAATTATAGTAGTTGGGTTTGTCTGCTCAAGCTGCTTTTTGAAATCTTCTGTTCAGTTCTTTTATCTTGTCATTTCTTCCATTTGCTTTAGCTACTCTCCATTCAGGGGCAAGTTTCAGAGTCTCTTCTGACATCCATTTTGGTCTTTTCATCCATTCCTGTCTTTCTAATGACCTCTTGCTTTCTTCAAGGTGATGTTCTTGATGTCATCTCATAATTCCTCTGGTTTTCGGTCATTGGTGTTCAATGCATCAAATCTATTCTTTAGATGGTCTCTAAATTCAGGAGAGATATATTCAAGGTCATATTTTGGCTCTCGTGGACTTTTTAAAATTGTCTTCAACTTCACCTTGAATGTGCATATAAGCAGTTGATGGTCTGTTCCACAATCAGCTCTTGGCCTTGTTTTGACCAAAGATCTTGAACTTCTCCATTGCCTCTTGCCACAGATGTAGTCAGTCTGATTCTTGTGTATTCCATCTGGTGAACCCCACGTGTATGGTCATCCTTATGTTGTTTAAAAAAGGTATTTGCAATGAATAAGTCCTTGGTCTTGCAAAATTCTGTCATGCGATTGCCAGCATTATTTCTATCACCAAGACCATATTTTCCAACTACTAGTAACTCTTCTTTGTTTCCAACTTTTTCATCCCAGTCACCAGGATGATCAACCCATCTTGATTGCATGTTTAGTCAATTTCCAATTGCAGAAGTTGATAAAAAGCTTCCATTTCCTCATCTTTGGCTTTGGTTGTTGGTGTGTAAATTTTAATAATAGTAGTATTAACTGGTTTTCTTTGTAGGCATATAGATATTATCCTATGACTGACAGCATTGTACTTCAGGACATATCTTGAAACAGTTTTTGTGATGATGAATGTCACACCATTCCTCTTCAATTTATCATTCCTGGCATAGTAGATCATATGGTTGTCTGATTAAAAATGGCCAAAACCAGTCCATTTCAGCTCACTAATGCCTAGGATATCAATCTTTATGCATTCTATTTCATTTTTGACAACTTCCAAATTCCTAGATTCATACTTTATACATTCCATGTTCCAATTATTAAAGGATGTTTGCAGCTGTTTCTCCTCATTTGGAGTCATACCACATCAGCTAATGGAAGTCTCAAAAACTTTACTCTATCCATATCATTAACATCGTCTTTACTCTGATGAGTCACTTCTTCCCCAGTCAAATTTTGAGTACCTTCTGACCTGATGGGCTCATCTTCTGGCACTATATCAGACAATGTTTCAGGGGTATTCATAAAGTTTTCCAGTAATATATCAGACAGTGTTTTACTGTTATTCATAAGATTTTCACTGGCCAATTTTTTGAGAAGTGGATGATGACCCCTTCCTTCTTCTGAGTCTGTCTTAGCCCAGAAGCTCTGCTGAAACCTGCCCACCATGGGTAACCCTGCTGGCATTTTTCAACGTGATGGCATAGGCTTCAGCCACACAGTAACACGTAAGCCATCACAGGACAACAAACTGACAGACAAGTTTATCTCCCTTAGTTGTTCCTAACCCCACTGCACCTGCCTGCCTCAGGCAACCGCCTTAAATTAGACCTGCCCACAAGTGAAAAGCAGCCCCCAAGCCCCAGCCCCCCCTTCTTCAGGCCCCGGCCTTAATAAAGAGCTGCCCCCAAGTGAAAAGCAGCCCCCGAGCCCTGGCCCGCCTACCTGGGGCCCCAGCCTTAAAATATAGCTGCCCCCAAGTGAAAAGCAGTCTCCAATCCCTGGGCCCCCCTACCTCAGGCCCTTGTCTTAATAATATAGAGCCACATCCAAGCGAAAAGCAGCCCCCAGCCCTGGGCCCCTCTCTTGTACATAGGGCCACTATAAGTCAGACCCAACTTGACAGCACCTAACAGCAACAAAAGTGAAGTCAGAGATTTTAAACTCAGGTGCTTAGAGGGGTCATACAGAAAAGTTTACAGTTATAATTTTAACTAACATTTATTGAGCCCTAGATGTGTGCCAAGTACTTTTCTAGGGATTTATATGTTTTACTTAATCTTCATAACAGTCCTATGAGGTACGTACTATTATTATTATCTCCTTATTTCAGGTGAAGAAAAGAAGGCACAGAAAGGTAAAATAACATGCTTAAGGACACCCAGTTAGTAGATTGCTTCATCACTATTGAGAACCAGCAGTTAAACTGAGTGAAGTGGACTGGATGACCAATGTGGGGAACTGGAGAGAGCATACCCATGTAGAGGGGACAGCCATTGCTCATTAAAGAGTGCTAGTCTAGTGTATCAGATATGTCAGTCTTTCGATAGCAGTCAGAAATCTGGATTTTAATGTAAAATGTTAATAATTAATTAGAAAAATAAAGACATTGTTGAGTCAAACAAATTTTGTCTACAGGCTAAATTCAACCCACATCTATAAAATGGTGTTGTTGTTGTCATGTGCCGTCGAGTCAGACCCGGCTCATAGCGACCCCTCCTTGGGTTTCCGAGGCAGTTTCACTATGGAAGTAGATTGCCCAAACTTCCTTCTGAGGAGTGGCTGGTGCGTTTGAACCGCCAGCCTCCTGGTTAGCAGTCAAGTGCTGTAAGCACTATGCTATCAGAGCTCCCACCTATACACCTATAAAATAGGAATCATAATAGTAGTACCCGTCTCTTAAGATTGATGGAGGAATTAAATGTGGATGTTATATGCATAACATTTACCTTGATATCTGCTACATAATGTTAAATAAATATAAGCTACCATTAGTAACATAAAACATTTTCTTCAGTCATTAAAATTTTGTAATCATTATTTTCTGTTGTTTTTATTTTACTAAATTATATGAAGACTACATTAGTATATATCTATTTTTAAAAAGTCAAACAATATAGAAGTATATGGAGTCAATGATTAAAGGTGCATTTTATCTCCTATTCCCACTCCATTCCCCTTTCCATATGTAATTTAAAACTATAAGTGGTATATTTTTCTGGCACTTGATTTTTTCACTTAATAGGTCTTGGACATTTTCCAAAATAAGTTCATACAAAGCAACTTCATTCTTTGTGAAGGTTGCGTTTAGTATGGCTACATCATAATTTATTGAACTTTACTTCTCAGTTGTCATTTAGGTAGTTTTCAGTTCCTTGCTATTATAGAAAAGTTATTCAGTATGTATGCATGTACTTGTGGTTATTTCTCTAGGCTGGGTCACTAGATGGAATTTCTGGGCCGAAACATATTAAGAATTTCATAGCTATTGCACCTGCACCATTCAGCAGTTTATACACATATTTTTCAATGACATTGGTTACATTCTTTACTTTGTGTCAATATTCTCATTATCTCTGCTCTGGTTGTTACATTCCCATTAAGTTTGTCTTTTTGCCCCCAACTTTCTCATCCATGGTTTAGACGTAGTTAATTTTAAAAAGAACACAGTACTCAACAAGAGTGACATTCTTGACTTTTTTGAGTTAACCTATTTCATTTGGTTAAAAGTTTACTTCAGGAATAGTTTCGGTTCAGGGTTTAAAGAGTATCTCAGGACAATAGTCACAGAGAGTCTTCTAGTTGCGTAGGGCATAGGAAGTCTGGGACCTTTGAGAATTTGATGTTCTGCTCCACATTTTTCTCCCTTTCTATCTGTATCTGTTTGTTGCAACCCTGATTAGGACATTAGGTAGTGGTAGTCGGGCCCAGTTAAATATATTTTAGTAGCTTCTTAATATTCCATTATATGAATGTTCCATTATTTATCATACCATTTCCTAATGTTGACACATTTAGATTGTTTTCAAATTTTTTTTTGGTATTATAAATGGTCCTGTGGCAAATATCTTTGTGAATACGTTATATTTTAAACAAATAAGTATTGTGTAAGAAATTGTTACCTAGTAGGTATATTTCTAAGACTTTATAGAGTTATTGTAAGTACTATGTTTAGTAATAATATATTATTTTTAGAAAAAGGAGGGCTTTGATAAAGTCATGTTCTAAGGTTTTTAATATTATTCTCAAGATTTTTAGAAACTTGTATGTATGTTTAATTTTAGATGTTGTCAACTGCAATGAAGACCATTACGAAACAGAAGATTGAATAAAGCCTGGTAGCACTGGACCTGCATTCAAGATTTAGAAAAGAAAATTAAATTAGTTACTTTAGCTTCAGTGTCCCAATTTTATAATATTTATTCTTAAATAGATTTAGTGAGTAGAAATTAAAATTCAGTTTTACTTTTATAAGGTTGCACTAATTGTAGTGACTTCTTTTTTCCTTCTAGTACAAGAGAAAAAGTAAATAACTAAGAGCTATCGTGAGTCATAATGAAATATACTAAATGGAATTTTATGATGTCAGTTCTTGGCATCTTCATCTATATATTTGATTTGATTGTGGACATATGGGTGTCTGTCAAGTTTTTCCATGAAGGACAACATGTTTTTGGTGTTTTAACAGTAAACTTCATGCTCTTTGGAACATTTGTAGTTCAGTGTTTTAGTTATTCTTGGTACAGGGCTGACTTAAAGAAAGCAGGCCAAGAAAGTCAGGATTGTTTTCTTCTACTTCATTGCTTGCAAGGAGGAGTTTTCACAAGGTGAGCACACGCTTTTGATCATTAACAATATTTTTCTTTTATGCAAATAGAATCAACCTTCCTGTGTCTGAGCAGTCAGATGTACAAAGGTCCCCTGTTTGCATGTAGCACAAAGGTTATTTACTCCGCATTATAAGTGATGAGTCAATGCTGCATTATCAGAATTTTCCAGTCTCATTAATAGAATGTTTTAATTTACCTACCGTAAGGTTCTGTTTCTGGTATCTACTCACTTCTTATGGGAAGTACAATATATTTTTTCTATGCTATGTGACTCTTTTATCATCTACATATATTTCAGTTGTGCAGTTACAGCTATCACTAGCAACTCTGATAAAACATTTAATTATTTTTAAGCAACTTATACATTGATTTAACAAAATGAAATTTTTACTGCAATAATTCAGTGGCCAAGTGGTTATTAAAAGCAACCTTAAGAATCATGCAGTTCAGAACTTAGTTTTATAGTTCAAGAATGTAGGACATAAATAAGTTCTGAACATTCTATGATTCTCTGTATATCTAACTTAATATCATCTTTTCATTATTACCTTAAGGGATTTCTTTCTGTCAAAAGCAATATATATCTTAAAAGTAAAGATAAATATCAAAGGCAAATATTAAAAGATGATAACATACTGTTTTGCTACATTTTTTTTTAAGGGAAGTTTGCAAGTGCCTGTTTTTGTTTTAAAATAATATCTTATTATGTTTTCAGTTAAAGTTTACACAGCAAATTATGTTTCCATTTAACAATATTAAGAAAAATGGGAATTCCAGAACACTTAATTGTGCTCATGAGGAACCTATCATAGATTAGGAGGCTGTCGTTTGAACAGAACAAGGTGATATGCATGGTTTAAAATCAGGAAGGGAATGTGTCAGGGTTGTATCCTTTCACCATACCTATTCATTCTGTATGCTGAGCAAATAATCTGAGAAGCTGGAAGAATATATGAAGGAGAGCATAGCATCAGGATTGGAGGAAGACTCATTAACAACCTGTGCTACACTGATGACACAACTTTGCTTGCTGAAAGTGAGGATGACTGGAAGCACTTACTGGTGAAGATTAAAGACTACAGCTGTGGTATGGATTACATCTCAAAATAAAGAAAATGAAAATCCTCACAACCAGACCAATAAGCAGCATCACAATAAATGGAGAAAAGACTGAATTTGTCAAAGATTTCATATTACTTGATTCCACAATCAACACCAATCGAAGCAGCAGTCAGGACATCAGATGACATATAGCACTGGGCAAATCTGCTACAAAAGACCTCTTTCAAGTGCTGAAGAACAAAGATATCTCCTTGAAGATGAAGGTGCACCTGACACAAGCCATGGTATTTTCAATAGCCTCATATGCATGTGAGAGCTGGACAATGAGTAAGGAAGACTGAAGAAGAGTCAATGCTTTTGAGATGTGGTATTGGCGAAGAAAGCTGGAAGTACTGTGTACTGCTAAAAGAACTAACAAATCTGTCCTGGAGTAAGTGCAGCTGGAATGCTCCTTGGAAGCGAGAATGGCTAGACTTCGTCTCACCTACTTTGGTCATGTTGTAAGAAGGGACCATTCTCTGCAGAAGGATATCATATTTGGTAAAGTGGAGGGTCAACGAGAAAGGGGAAGGCCCACAACAAGATGGATTGACACAGGGATGGGCTCAGGTATAGCAAGGATTGTGGGGCTAGCACAGGGCTGGGCAGTGTTTCATTCTTCTGTACATAGGGTCACTATGAGTCGGAGATGACTCGATGGCACCTAACAACAACAACAACCTCTATTGGTATTCATTGTGGATCCAAGTAAATTGAAATTCTTGACAACTTCAATCTTTTCTCCATTTATCATGATGTTACTTATTGTTCTTGTTGTGAGGATTTTTTTTTTTTTTTAATGTTGAAGTGTACTCCATACTGAAGTCTGTAGTCTTTGATCTTCATTGATCGGTAAGTGCTTCAATTCTTCTTCACTTTCAGTAGGCATGGTTGTGTCGCCTGCATATCACAGGTTGTTAATGAATCTTCCTTCAATCTTGATGCTATGTTCTTCATTTAGTCCAGTTTCTTGGATTATTTGATCAACATACAGATTAAATAAGTATGGTGAAGGGATATAACCCTGACTCACACCTTTCCTGATTTAAAACCATGCAGTATTCCCTCGATGTGTTCAAACAACTGCCTCTTGGCCTATATTTACATTCCTTATAAGCACAATTAAGTCTTCTGGAATTCCTATTGTTTGCAAAGTTATCCATAATTTGTTATGATCCGGATTGTCAAATGTCAATAAGACACAGGTAAATATCTTTTCTAGTATTCTTTTCTCTCAGCCAAAATCCATCTAACATCAGCAATGGTAGCTCTCATTCTACATTCTCTTCTGAATCTGGCTTGAATTTCTGGCAGTTCCCTGTCAATGTACTACTGCCGTTTTTGAATTTCCTTCAGCAAAATTTTACTTGTGTGTGATAGTAATGATAATGTGTGAGAATTTCCACATTTTGTGGGATCACCTTTCTTTGGAATGGGCATACATACGGGTCTCTTCCAGTCAGTTGGCCAGATAGGTGTCTTCCAAATTTCTTGGTCTAGGTGAGTGACCACTTCCAGTGCTGCATCTTTTTGTAGAAACACCTTAATTGCTATTCTGTCAATTCCTAAACAAAAATCCAAACCAAACTCACTGTCATTGAGTTGATTCTGACTATTAGGTTTCTAAGGCTGGTAGTGTTGAATTGCTGATCTGATTAGTGCCAAATGCCTTATTCACCACTCCACCTGAGCTCCTTCCATTGGTTCCTATAGCCATGTTTTTCACCAGTGCCTTCAGTGTAGCTTGGACTTCTTCAGTACTATCAGTTCTTCATCATATGCTACCTCTTGAAATGGTTGAACATTTACCAGTTGTTTTGATTCAATGACTCTATGTTTTTCTTCTATCATATTTTAATGGTTCCTACGTCATTTGAGGGAGGGAGACAGGCCCCACCCCAGAGGCAGGAAAGGGAGGGAACGCTGGGGATGACAAAGTGGCAGGATCCAGGAAGGATCCAGGTAAGGGGAGGTCGGAGAGGTTTTGAACGGCTAAGGGAGATGAAGTTGTCTGTCAGTCTGTCATACTATGGTGTCAGGCTCATTGCTGTGAGGCTTGAGGCTGTGCCACCAGTATTTCGAACGCCAGCAGGGGTGCACACAGTGCACAGATTTCAATGCAGCTTACAGACTGAGACAGACTAGGAAGAAGAAAGAGGCCATCCACTTCTCAATTGGCCAGGGAAAACCTTATGAACAGCAGAGAAACACTGTCTGCTACATTGCTACAGGGCAATTTTATGAATAACCCGGAAACATTGTCCAATACAGTGCAGGAAGATGGGCCCCTCAGGTTAGAATGCACTCAAAAAATGACTGGGAAAGAGCTGCTTCATCAGAGTAGAACCAACCTTAATGATATGGATAAAGTAAAGCTTTAGGGACCTCCATTTGCTGATGTGGCATGATTCAAATTGAGGAGAAACAGCTGCAAGCATACATTAATAATTGGAACATGGAATGTATGAAGTATAAATCTAGGAAAACTGGAAGTTATCAAAAATGAAATGGAACACATAAAGGTTGACATCCTAGGCATTAGTGAGCTGAGATGGACCAGTTTTGGCCATTTTGAATCAGACAACCATATGATCTACTATGCTGGGAATGACAATTTGAAGAGAGATGGCATGGAATTCATCATTGCAAAGGATGTTTCAAGATCTGTCCTGAAGTACAATGCTGTCAGTGATAGGATAATATCCATACACTTACAAGGAAGTCCAGTTAATACTACTGTTACTCAAATTTGTGCACCAACCACCAAAGCCAAAGATGAGGAAATTGAAGATTTTTATCAAATTCTGCAGTCTGTAATTGAACAAACATGCAATAAAGATGTGTTAATTATCACTGGTGACTGGAATGCAAAACTTGGAAATGAAGAATCACTGGTAGCTGGAAAATTTGACCTTGGTGACAGAAATAATGCTGGAGATCACATGATAGAATTTTGGAAGACCAATGACTTATTCATTGCAAATACCTTTTTTCAACAACACAAATGGTGGATGTGCACATGAACTTTGCCAGATGGAGTACACAGTAATCAGATTGACTACATCTGTGGAAGGAGGTGATGGAGAAAAGCTCAATATCTTCAGCCAACACAAGGCCAGGAGCTGACTGTGGAACAGACCATCAACTGCTCATATGCAAGTTCAAGTTGAAGTTGAAGACAATTGAAAGAAGTCCATGAGAGCCAAAATATGACCTTGAATGTATCCCTCCTGAATTTAGAGACTATCTAAAGAACAGATTTGATGCATTGAACATGAATGACTGAAAAACAGAGGAATTGTGTGATGACATCAAGGACATCATCCATAAAAAAAGCAAGAGATCATTAAAAAGGGAAGAAAAGAAGAAAAGACAAAAATGGATGTCCGAAGAGACTCTGAAACTTGCCCTTGAATGGAGAGTAGCTAAAGCAAATGGAAGAAATGACAAGATAAAAAAGCTGAACAGAAGATTTCAAAGAGCAGCTCGAGCAAACCAACCCAACTACTATAATGAAATGTGCAAAGACCTGGAGTTGGAAAACCAAAAGGGAAGAACACGTGCAGC